GCAGCAGCAGCAGCAGCAGCGGCAGGACCAGAGGCCGGCAGAGAAGAAACCCCTCTATCATTACAAAGAAGGGATAAATGCCAGCGAGAAACCAGCATGGGCCAAGGAGGTAGGCAAGAGCGAGGAGCGTGGGGATGCCTGTCTGCATCCACAGGGCTGAGCGTGCGGCTGGGTCCGGAATACGCATGGCAGATTGCGTTCTGCTGGGTCGGCCTCCAGTAGGTGCCGTTAGCTGAACTGGAAACACTCCCAGTTCAGTGCAGTGCGTCTGCGTGTACGTTTGTCCAAGGAAAGGAGTGGAGGAAGGAGATCTTCCATGAGGGCATGCAAGGAGGAGGATGGATCCCTCCTGGAGGGCTTTAGCCATAGCTGGGGACTTGTGGAGGTGCCAGGAGCTCCTGGTGCTCCTTCCTGGCACGTCAGTCAGGGAAGAATGCAGAGGGGTGGTTGCAGTGGGCTTCCTTGCTGGGCACTAGTTCAGTTCCCCATAATCAAACAAGGACTGGACAGCTTTTCCTCCTGCGCTCAAGGCTGTATCTCTTGGGGTTGCTCTTTCATGATTTTTGGGAAGGCAAGCCACTTTGCCAATTTTCTTTTTCTCTCCAGCAAAGAAGAGGGAATTGTTGTAACAGTTGTGAGATCTTGAATATTAATTTTTGCCTGGCTGAATAGTCTTGAAAAGATGAACACATGCATTATCTGCAGTGCGGTTTCAGGATCGTGTGGGAACGCTTTCTTCCTCCTGTATCTCTTTGGGGTGGCTCCAGTAAGACTGTTGCTCACTTTTGGTATTTATTTTTCTGAAGTTCTTTGTCTTGGGTTGGTTTAGTTTTGTAACCCTACTCCTGGGCAGAAAAATCTTTTAATAACTCCCCTATTCTTTCTACTGAGCCAGATCACTGCTCTGCTGCCAAGTGTCTGGCACCCTTTAGTCCTGGCAGAGATGCGATGTGCATCCAGCATGTAGCTGTCTCCTGGTCTTTCCTCTTGACAGCCCTCAGCTGCACCCACAATACCTGTGAGCATCAAATACTCAAGAAAATCGATCAGCTACCCTTTGCTAAGCAAGTAATACAAACTGTTCTTAGCCTTTCTAAACTATCACAAAGATAGATGTGGGCGTCAAAAACCCTTTTCACCTCTTGATATTCCTTTGGGTTTCTCCTTCGTTCCCTTCCGATTTAGTCTTCAGTGTCGTTTGGTGGCCATGTGGCAGTCAGTGTATTTTCACGGAGTTGGAGCATCGTTGTCCAGCCCTTCCAACGGAAAAAGAGGTTTGGTAGGTGGGTCTGCAGATAAGATGGTCAGGTGTTCAAGGCCAGGCTGGATGAGGCTTGGAGCAACCTGGTCTAGTGGAAGGTGTCCCTGCCCATGGCAGGGGGGTTGGAACTGGATGATCCTTAAGGTCCCTCCCAACCCAAACCATTCTCTGTTTCTGTGTTCTGAGCCGCCTCTGACGGGAGAGGCTTAACCTGGGTGGTGCCTCTGCAGCTCTCTGCAGTACTGGGTCTCTGTTGTCCATCTGCAGATGTGCCAAGAGTAGGTAGCAGGCAGGTGAAAGGGGACTAGACTCTTTCATTGCTTCATTTTAAATAAATCCTCTAGAATGATACTAAAGTACCCCTAGCACTGTCTTCCAAACTATAGCAAAGACATATGAAAAGGAATCTTGCTCTTTATCTGGGGTGAAGGAGAAAAGTGCTGGATTTATCTTTCCATGTCAAACACAAAGGCCCATTCCTTTTACTCCATGGGGAAGGCGTCTTGTTTTGATGCCCTCGCTGGAAGCGGGGCACTGGGAGCTGCACAGTGTGAATAAGAGCAGCGGAATGCGGCCTCATACCCTTTGCTGAAATCATAGGGAAGACAAGTTTTCCTGTTGTTTGGGAACATCTCCAGCTTCCCCCAGCTAGTTCTCCAAACCTTTTATTCTTTACCTGTGTCACTCTGCCCGGTTTCTAACCAAATGCTCAAAGCAACGACTGTGGCATCTTGGGAGCAGCAGTTCGATGTGCTGCCTTAACACAATACCCTCGGAAACTTCCCAAAACTACTTCTCTCGCCTCCATCCACTGTTTTATCGACTGCATAGTCCCACTTTTAGCACAACTTACCTACTTTGCTCCATATATTGAAGTACCATCCTTGCTGACTGTACCGATAGTCAGACTTGTGCTGAAACTAAATCACCCTACCATGGCTGCTGCTGTAGTTTAGCAATTCCCGTACCCAACCCGTGCACGCTAATTTAACAGAAATAGCGAGATTTGTCTTCCTTTGGGAGCAAGGAACAGACAAATGCTCAGCCTACAATTTCTGGAGGCTCTGCAGGGCTTATTGGGATATTCCCTGAGCATCTTGCGTGGTATCCCATATCGTCCTTGTTTTTATGCTCTCTGGTTTCCAGTCCTCTCTCTCAGGAGCTTGATCATCCCAGATGAGTTCTCCTCATGCCGTGCCCCTCTCTGCTTTTCATACCTCTCCTTTAAGCACTTCCTTTCCCACCTCACTCCTCTTCACATGATGACTCCAAGACCATGTGGACATGGGTAAAGCATAAAGTTGAGGCTGTGCTTGTCTCACAGGTACAGTCGGGCGTTTTCCACCTGGTGGCTAGGCCCTGCGGTGCTTTCCTGCGGCTCAGAGCTTCCTGGGAGCTCAGGACTCGGCTGTGTGTCACAAGCTGTGCTGTTCTCTGCAGCAGCCAACATGCCTGTTGGCTTCTCCTTCAGTCCCCGTGGCTTTTATCCTTCTCTCGCTTTGAAGTGACGCATTAAAACAGTAGCAGCCTTCCACTGGGACCTGTGCAGAAGCTGCTAGGGATGTTTCCCATTTGAGGGGAATCTTGAGTTCAACTAGGGATGGCTGGAGCCAGAGTAATGATGAATTCCTGCAGAGTTTTGCTGCTTTTTCCCCCTCTCTGCTTAATGGTGGCGGCAGTAAGGCTCCATGAAATTTCCAGCTGGAGGGTCCCAAGAGCATCCTTTGCTGTGCTGGGGCAGGTGCTAGCAAGGAGATGCCGGCAGTGGGAAAACCAAGCGCCTTTCTCCTTCCCAGTACACAGACATCCCCATTTCTTCACTCCCACCTTCTCCTCCGTGCAGGCTTTGAAGTCCTCCGTAATCACATTACGGCTTGGCAGAGTGCCGGAGAGCGCCTCCACACAGCCAGAGGATTCGGCAGCAGCACCGTCTCTGCCTGCTGGTGTTCGTGCCAAGGCTTGGCTGATAAGATGTACTGGACCGAGCCTGCGACCCAGCAGTTGTGCTGCTGCTCCCTTGTTCAGAGGGAATTCTCCTTCCTGTCCTGCTCTCCTTCCCATCCTTGCATCCACTCCCTTAGGCATCGCTGGACTGAGCGCTGCATGGTCTCTGCTAGCACTTGGGGAAGCTGTGAAGTCCTCTTGGGACACAGCAGTGGCCCAGGGCATCTTGCATGAACTAGGAAAGAAAGAGTCCATGACACTAATCTCTTAGCAAATTTTTACTCCAACTCCTGCTCAGTGTCTGAAAGAGGAAAAGATGAATTTTTATTAATACAGTGGCTCATATTCGTATTTATTAATACAATGGCTCGTTTGTTTCACGGACATTTCTTTGCATAAAGAAGATCTGTGGTTCTTTCCAAGCAAACCTGTTTTATAGATTGCCTTTTAACGTGACATTGTGCGTGGTGGAATCCAGACAGGCGAAGGGTATTTAATAATACGTAAATGGAAATACACGCCAGATCTCGAGGTATCAAAAATTCTGCATCGCATATGCTGCATGAATATCAATGCATAGAGCCTAGCTGCAGGAGCATCCGGAATGCACATGTGCCTGGGCTAGCTGAAACCACGGCATTTCCATCAGGAGTAACTGAAAGCAGTGGGCTTTGGGTTTATTTCTCTATCAGTAATAGAGGTTTTCCCCTTCTACATGACAAGGTGCCAGACTTACTAAATCTAGATCAAAGCCAGCCATTTTCTGGTGCCATGTTTATTCTTTTATTCAGATCAAACAAAAGTGCTGCTCATGGTATTTAATAGTAGTGAGGGAAAAGCATCCCCTTGCTTAAAGATACATTTGAGAAGCAGCAAGAGCATCGCAGGAGTCACCTTATAGAAACACCTCTCTGAGGCTTGTTGCCTTTTCTTTGTTTTTTTCCGTTTCATGCTCGGAAATGAATTATGCACATAAACACAAATAGTCCTTTCCATGTCTTTAAAACACATTTACTGCACGGTCTGCTGGGTAACTTGGATTCTGTGGTTGTACAATACCCTGATATACCTAAAGAGAAAAGATCTTCCTATATATGTGTGTAATATAAATGCATACCTTGGTTTTCAGTTGGAAACGGCTTTTTATGGGGCATTCTCCCACCCTCCCCATCTCGCCGCAGGTGGAGGAGCGCTCCCGGCTCAATCGCCAGAGCTCGCCGGCCATGCCCCATAAGGTGGCCAACAGGATTTCTGACCCCAACCTGCCTCCCCGGTCGGAGTCTTTCAGCATTAGTGGCGTGCAGCCCGCCCGGACCCCACCCCTGCTCCGACCCGTGGACCCGCAGGTAACGGTGCTTCCCCCGGCAGGCTCTCCTGCTGCAGCCAGGATGCTGGGGGTGCTGGTAAGGCAACGAGAAGAGCAGGTTAAAGGGAAACAGTGTCTTGCTCCCTGGTTTCTCAGCGTTAAGTGTATTTGTGAGTAAGAGCAGCATCTGCATTCATGAGTAGATTCCTCTTGTCACCTCCATGTGTTAGAAACATCACGCTGGTTTATACCTTCCTTTGAAGCATCACGTACTGCTTACTGCCAGAAACAAGCTGGAGGACCGAGAGGAACCGCTGGTCTGGTCCAGTGCGGCAGTTGCTCTGTTCCTCTTTGGATCTGGTTTATGTAAAGGGCTAAAAAAGCCGCAGCGCCTGGTACAAAAGACCCGGGATGCTTTAATGCCGAGGATCATCAGAAAGACGTTTTGCTTTCTTTGCCGCTTTAATTCAAGGTTTTGTTTTGGTTTTCCATTGAGTTGACATCAGTCACAAACACATCTGGAGAGGGCATAGATCACCAGGACCATCTAAAAATTCCTCCCTGCCACGGGCTCTGTAAGTACTCTGCCACCAGAAGCTCTGCACCGAGTGTTGTTGCTGGCTCTGGTCCAGCCGCTGGAAGCGCTCTTGCAGAGCCGCAGACTCCAGCAGGGATTTCAGAAGGAAGTACAAGGCCTTTGCTCCATGTCCACGTGGGCTTTCTATGGGAAAAATGTGCCAAGTGCCATCCACGTGGGGTATGCGCACCGGTAGCTCAGCAGTACAGTACCAGCTTTAAACAAAATACATGCCGGAAGCCCTTAAACACACAGCTGTCTTTTTTTCCCCAGTGTACATGGTCTATATACGTTGGGAAGTGGGTAAAACCTCACTTCATGGTAATCTCTCTGATTGACTAAATACTTTGCAGTGACCTTTTTGGCACCCTGTGTTGTCAATTGGTACGAAAAAGTTTGTTTGGCAGTAAAATACTAAAGACAAAGTTGCTTGAAACCCAGAAACTATCGAAATGGATGTGTGTGTACCCTTAAACACGACACACGTGTACAGAGATACGTACGTAGAAACATCAGATAAATGTTACAGCCCCACTGTGTCAGAGAAGTGCAGCTTCCCAGGGTCCTGGGAAAAAGCTCTGACCTTTCACAAATGCTGACTTTGTGAGCTCAGATTTCCCACACAGATGTCAGTATTCCATCCACTAGTAACCCTTAGATCTGTAGGGCTGATCCCTGGGATAGGAGCTACCTAAACAGATAGAAACTCATCCTTCAAGATACGTTTTTTAAACCATCTATGCCTCAGAATTCCTGATGATTTTTTTAATTATTATTTATTTATAGTTTCCTCTATTTTTTTTTTTTTTCCCATTTTTAACAAGGAAAATCCATGCCAGACCTCATCAGCACAAGCTTAGGTGCAGGTGTAGCAGCTGGAACTTTGGCAAGCGGCAGGCAGAGCCTGGGGCGGGCACGGCGCGTGCGGGAGCTGGCCGGAGGGAGCAGCCTGCCCTGTGGTACCCATGGCATGGCGTGGGGC